TTGCTTCTAGTCTCCTCGTTGTCGAGGATTAACTACTCAGTATTCCTGCATTTACTCCATGTCCTTGAAAACTTGATTTGCAGGGAGGAGTACTTGTAAAGCATGTTGCAAAGGATCCCTCTTCAGCTGTGAAGAACAGATTTGTCTGGAAACTACCAATTCAGGCACATATTCAGGCAGTACACACTAGTGATAAGCTAGATGTGTGGGTTTTTAGAAGGGTTTCTACCAGGGCATATTTCATTTTAAGCAGAGGACTTGGGTAAATATGCTTGATTATGTTTCTTCTGCAGATCAAGAGTCAATAATGCTTCCTGCAACGTGGGATGATATGCAAAACCAGCAACTCAAACTAGTGGAACTAAGACCAGAAACGAATGAATATAAAGATGTGCAGGAAAGGTTTCTGAAGACATGTCAGTCATTTAGAATTGAAAAGGTAGAAGTGTGTCACCATTTCTGTGCATAAAAACTTTGATAACAAGTAATGAAGATTACTAATACCAATGGAAAGATAAATTGCACTGGGACTTCCTAAGTTGAACAAGTCTTTATGGCTGTCTCTAACTTTAATGAGCATCAGTTTAATGTTGCAATTCAGGTATTTGGAACAACTCCTAAGCAGTAGCTGCTGCAGCACCAAGGGAGAAAGCTCTTTCTTTAAATTGTTTATAGTGGAGCACAGCATTTGCTTGCTTAAGCCATGTGTCCTTTATGGGTAGGCATGTCATCTGTGCTCCACAAATCTGCAAACCTGTCCTAGATTGTTTCCCACGGAGTGTTTCTGTTGTGTTTTGGGCTGAGTTCAGCTGTCCATCATGCCAAAGTTTGGAGTGATTTGGCTAACTTCATAATCTGCTGTGCCTGCAGTGGAGCTAGGAGGAGAATCTTGGAAGTAGATTGAATTGTTGATACACCAATGTTTTATGTGACAGCAACGATCTGTCTTTCTGTCTGCTTTCAAACTTTGCAGATTGAAAGGGTACAGAACCTATATTTTTGGAAGGCCTACCAAATAAAAAAGCGTGAAATGGATATCAAAAATGGTACCACGAATAACGAGAAGCTTCTGTTTCATGGGACAAGTAAGGAGTCATTAATCTTAATTAACAACCGTGGATTTAACCGGAGCTACGCTGGGATGCACGGTAATGTGAACTTCCTAGAATAGAATCATAGAACTATTCAGGTTGGAAAAGACTCTTGGGATCACCAAGTCCAACCATCATCCCTACTCTACAGAGTCCTCCCCTAAACCATCTCCACCAACACCACATCCAGAGATGGTGCACATCCTTAAGCACATCCAGGGATGGTGACTCAACCACCTCCCTGGGCAGCCTATTCCAGTGTCCAACCACTCTTTCTGTGAACAATTTTTTTTCCTAATGTCCAGTCTAAACCTGCCCTGTTGCAGCTTGAAGCCCTTCCCTCTTGTTCTGTCGCTAAGTACCTGTGAGATGAGACCAGCGCCAACCTCTCTGCAATGACCTTTGAAAAACAACTCTTGTTTTCCTGAATAGGACTAGGGCTGAATTGCCATCCTATTGATATAGTCCTGCCTTGTACACAAAATTGTTTTGTTAAATCTCCCTATTGCAGATAAAAAGGAAAATTGTCAGGAGATTGTTATGGCTTAACTGGCCAGGCAGCTAAACACTCCTCAGAATCAGAAGAAAGGTGAAACTCGTGAGCTGAGATAAAGACGGTTCAGTAGGACAGAAAAGAAAGGGAAAATAATGATAAAAGAAAGCACAAAATAAGTGATGAACAGTGCGGTTGCTCACCACCCACTAGCTGCTGCCCAGCCAGTCCCTGAGCAGCTGCTGCAGCCCCTCCAGCCAGCTCCCCTCGGTTTTATTGTTCAGCAATTGCATGGTATATAATATCCCTCTGGTCAGTTGGGGTCAGCTGTCCTGGCTGTGTCCCCTCCCAACTTCTTGTGCACCCCCAGCCTCCTTCCTGGCAGTATGAGAAGCTGAAAAGTCCTTGACTTAGTGTAAGCTCAGCAAGGACTGAAACATCAGTGTGGTTATCTAGCTAGTTCTCATCCTAAACCCAAATCACAGTGTCATACCAGCTACTAGGGAGAAAATTAACTCTATCCCAGCTGAAACCAGGAGATACTCACAGGCTCTGAAGATGGCAGGTAAGTGATTGCTGCTACTGAAATGGTCACTAAGATTTGTTTTTCTGCCTACAGCTGCCAACTATGGAAATGGAACGTACTTTGCTGTTGACGCTGCCTATTCTGCCCATGATGTCTACTCCAGACCTGATGCCAATGGGAAGAAGTACATGTACTTGGCACGAGTCCTTGTTGGGCAATATTCTCTGGGGACAAAAGGATCGATTACTCCAGCAGCAAAAAGTGCTAGTAACTCCATAGATCTGTTTGATAGTTCAACCGATAATCTAAACCAGCCAACCATGTTTATCATATTCAACGACATCCAAGCGTACCCAGAATACCTTATCACTTTCACTAGATAAGCATTTTGATTATAGCCAGGATGGCATGTCTTTCAGTCTTTGTGTAGGACAGAAGCACTTGTAACAAAATATGCAAACAAAAGGTTTAATCACGTTAATTTCTTAAAGCCATTGAAGCAACCTCTGTCAGCTTTTGATAGCACTGAAATAGATTGCTTGTTTGCACTCAGAGTAGCTGAGTGTATTTAACACTTGATTTTTGGTATCCTACTGAAAACTGCTGTTAGATTATGTATCAAGCCTTAATATATTATTAGCCTTTCCATGCAGCCTTATGGCCATCCTAGTTGCAATAGAAGGTGGGGAGAGCTGGCAGACAATTGGAAGGGATCTTCTTTCAGCTGCTGACCACTTGATGTTGCATTTCTGATGGCTTTTTACTCTCTGTAAATGACAGTTTACATTGTGAATTATGATATAGTCGTTTTCAATAAACTAATTGTAGTTAAAGGCTTTGTCTCTTGTGTTTGAGATTGGCTTTCAACCAATTGACTTGATGTCTCATAAATACAAATTTGCTTGGTTTTTTAATACAATAATCCTTCCTGGCAGGTTAGTAAGAGGTTTTACAAAAGGTTCTAGAAGTTGCTCAAGTTAACTATAGCTGAGAGGGACAGGAAGGTAAATTTTGTGAAGTTGTTTCTATTGTCATATACAAGCTGCATCAGCCTTCCTGTGATATTAAAGGAATAAAGCAAAGAAAAGCTTGGAGAAGAAGAGGGTGTGGGTTGCTAAAACTTTAATCAATAGAGTATTGCAAAGGGGTGATCATTAACAAGCTGAAGTTCAGAGTTCTTTGTTGGAAGGGGGGAGAAAAGCAACATTATCTTCTTTGTGGCATGTTGATGGAATAAAAAATTGTGCTTCTCACAGCCTTAGATATTTTAAGATCTTCCAGCAGAGTGATGCAGCACTTCCAAATTCTAAAGACCCTTGGCTCCTCTAAATGTGTCAGGTTTGACTTCTTTGGTTGGATGATTATGAGTAAGTTTTCCAGTGCTTGCTTTATGGACTTAGGTTGCTATTACTGTCAAGTGTTACCACAGCTGGGTGTGTCCATGTGAGCAATAATAATTGCAGGGTAGACATTGCCAGGGGACATGTTTTCTCGGGAAGGTGGTGTGAAATAACATGAACCTGCAGCTATCTCACTAGAGCTATAACCATCAGGCCCCTGGTTCTTTGATGTGACAGTAGCCAGAGGTGACAACTTGGGATGCCTTGCTGCAGCTGGTGGGTCAGTGGTAACAGCCTGAACTTTCTCTCACAGAGAGTGTAATGCCTCTGTTCTCAGCTTCACCACCCCCACAAGCAGCTGTGGAAAACACCAAGGTGTTTTTTCACCAGTGCTTGCATTACAGGTGGTGAGTGTCAAGCAAGGAGCAGAAGCCTGCAGCTCTGGCCTCTGTGCATGTGATGAGCAAGATGCTGCTTCCTCCAAATGAGTTTATTATAATCAAAAGGCTGGGGGGATTTGGAGGAGTTTGAAAGACACCTTGTTCCTCCAGCAGTGTGCTGGGCTTCCACCTCCCAGCACAGGGTGGAAGAAGGCCTTTTGCAACATGAAGGGGCGAGCCTGAGACAGCTCTGGGTATTTCAGGAAATTCTGTTGGGGAAAGGAGTGTTAGGGTGCAGGTGTGCAGCTGGGACCAGAGGGTCAGCAGAGCTGACCTCCTGGGGCAGGTGAGGAGCTGGCCTGGGCTGTACAAGGAAAGGGTGAGAGAACTGGATTTGTTCAGCCTTTAGAAAGGAAGGCTTTGGGGAGGCCTTACCACCATCTTCCAGTACTTAAAAGGTGGCTAGCAAGAGGACGAAGACTCCCTCTGTGACAAACACCCATACTGCTAATAACATAGGCTCAGACAGCTTCTCAGTGAAGCCCATTTTGTTTATGTTCGTGCATGTGCACACTTAGCTTGCTTTTTGATTCCCTAACCCCATCCTAGTTATCCCTCTCTTGTTTCTCCATGGGCTGGGGCCTCCAGGGTTTACAGCCTGATACACCTGAAGTTACCACCTGATGTCCTGTTCACCTTTTACCACACTCTGCCTCTATGGCTTCCCTCATTTTGTTTGTTTCTTCCCTGTTGTGGTGGGGTTGCACGATTTTCTTGCCTTGAACTGAGTATTTGACCAATGTTCTAACCCCTGCTCTGCTAGGAGCTGGTTTTCTCTCACTGGAGCCCTGAGCAATGTTGCCTAAGCCTTGGATGGGATCTGATTTCTAACTAACCATTTCCTCTACAGTTACACCTGATGGAAAGTGGCTTCAGCTGCTGCAGAAACAGTGCTAACCTCTCTCACACCTCTTCACAAGGAGTCACCTCGAAGAGAGGAGGGGCAAGAGGTGCAAGCTACTCCCAGGGACATCACACCTGGGCGCCAGAAAAAATGTTTCACTATAAGAACAGCGGGAAGGGGGATGGTCTCCCCAGGACTCCCCAGCGCTGGGGACAGGGCTCTGGGCCTCACCTCAACCACGCTCCTACCTCGGCAGGTCGGACGAGATGATTCCTGAGGTCCCGTCCGGCCCGGCACAGCGTGCTTGCTGTGTGGCAGGCGGGGCGGAGGAGACAGACAGACAGACAGGGACAGGGACAGGTGCCGGCGCAGCTCCC